TCCACAGGGTGTATCGATACGTCCCTCGGGTTACTCTCATTACCGTCCCTACCACCGGCGGTGGTAGTATGGCCTGGGCCTGGACACAGTACTCTTCTCCAACCTTTTTGCAAAGGAACAGAGTCTGATCCTCATTGTTCTCCGACGTATGGTAGTAGAAGACTTCCCATAGCTCCCCTTGGCCTGGCCATTCTAGATGTTCATTGCTAATTCTCTCCAAGAAGGATGAGTTTGTGGTAATTCCGAACCATAGGATTCGGTGTTGGTCGATGTACCGGACCTCGTAAGTCTCACCCTCTTCGGCGTCCATTACACTAAGGTCACAGTTGATAGTTCCTTCATCGGTATCTCCAAATTTCCAGATACGACGGTTCCATTGGTCAATTTCCCGAATAGTCCATGATTCTCCTAGCTGCGGGTCTTTGTTTACCTATGAGAGGCATTCGACCTCTTCTTCTTCTTCGAGCTCTTCTTCGTAAGCTGGTGGTGGCGTGGCTAGCCCTGTCATGCTGACAGCACACAATTGTGGCGTGAAGGTGGCATTAAGTTGGCCTTTGCCGAACTTATTCTTAAAGTTGCCCTTCTTACCCTCTGTTTTCTTGCTTCGATATTCTGCTGCCCGATGCCCTGCTTTTCCACATTCAAAGCATAAGTTATTTTCTCGTCTTCGTTTCTTCTCTGGATCATCATTCCCGTTTTTGTGATGCATAGCGTCGAGTTCCATGGGGTCCCTGTAACTCTGTGTACTGTAACGTGGTCTACCCTCATTCTTGCGGTAGCGCCCTTGCCTATGATTTGTCTGAGGCTTGTATGTTCGTTGGGTTTGTTTGTACCTGTATAGTCGGTCATCGGCATCGATGGAGCTTTTGATTAGTCCGTTCAAGTCATCGTCCTCCCCTTCCCTATCAAGTTCCAAACGTACTTCTGGTTTGAGTCCTTTACGGTAATGACTCATGATGGCGACCTCGTCCCATTTAGTTGTCCCCGCATATCTTCGGAACTCCGTAGCATACTTCAATGCCGATCCTGTCTGTTTGAGGTTGAAGATCTTCTCTTCCGCTACCTCTAACTCATTGGAGTTTCCGAAGATCCTACGGATTTCTGTCTTGAATCCTTCGAAACTGTCGAAGATGGTTCTTGTGGGCTGCATGCGTTCCCTGTCGTCATGCTCGAAATAGTCGCGCAGGTATGGCTGAATCCATTTGCCTGCCTCGCCTCTGAGGTATGACACGGCCCAAATACTCTTAGATTCCTTTTCGATGAACTTGTCTTGGTTGAATCTAAAATAGATTTCGAGTTGTAATAGGAAGGTGTCGAGTTCCTATCGACTTCCTTGGTATTTGTCTGGTAAGGCAATCTTGAGTGTTTCGTTGATGGTGATCTCCTTAGAAGCATCAGTCATTTCGACATCATCGAAGTTGCTTGCTGGGGCCTGTTAGCTTCTAGAAGAACTGTTGGCTGCCATACTGGCGGTTGGTATTGAATCGGTATTTAAAGCAGAAAGGGTACTCAAAGTATTACAGGAGCTGCCTCTAGGGTCACATGGAAGTGTTTAGAGATCTCTTGAGGTGGTTTACACTAGACTTCAAGTAGGAATTCAATAAGGTTGGTAACTGGTTGCAATTCTCGTAACTATAGTAATGAAACTAATGATTGTTCTTGAGCACGAAGCTCTACATTGTAATGAAATCCCATTCTTTATATAGACCTTCGTGCTTTGTCCTGGTCCCTGGGACCTCTCCGATATGTTGGATCGTTAAGGATCGCAACGCGCTCCAGGAGCGCTGAAGCTCCTTGACGCTCCATCACGTGCGATTTATGTCATGTGACGCGGTGTGTTGGATGCCGTCGTAACAGATTTGAAATATTAAAGGGTGAAGATAATCTTTTAAGAGAAATATAATGTTATAATTAATTGTAATTTTATAATATTTTAAAAAGAATTGAATAAAAAGAAAAGGATTATTATAACAAAATAAAAAGTATAGAGTTTTTACAGGTATATTGAAGGATTTATAAACGAAAGGTTTTTAAATAGAATAGATATATAATATAAATAATTCGAAGGATTTGAAAGGATTACTTAGAAGATTATTTAAGAATCTTAATAAAAAAGTTTAAAGAAGAATGAATTTTATTTCTTTTTTATTTATTTCTTTTTTTTAGAATTATATACAAGTACATTATATAATCTTAGTATAGCTATATAGACCGAATCGATTATGAATTTACTACTACTACTACTACTACTACTTATATAAATCCTATAATTCAATAACTTATATCTATTATTATATTAAACTCATACCGCTTTACATCTATAGACCGTATCTTTATTATCTTATTGATTCTCTAACTCTATAAGTATCTATAACTTGAATCAAGAAAACAAGATTGAATTTCATATCAAACATAGCACTAGTACATCAAGTAGTATCATATTACTTATTACAACTTCTAATTAATACTCTTATAATCAAGGCCATAACGTAGTTTATCAGTGCGTACATCATATCAGTACGTGTACCATTTCAAAATACGTCAAAATTAGGCCTTTTTTAATATTCTTATTTTAATAACCAATTATTATTTTAGGAAAAAAAAGAATATTAAATAGTTATATGAAAATAGATTCTTAAAAATCTAGTTTTTATATTAATATTCCTATTAAAGCTTAGAAAAAGTGAAAATTGTTATGATTTTCGTTATAAAATAGTTATTTCTATAATAACTACTTTATAAATTAAGTTTTTCTTAAAATTAATTAGATTTTTATAATTCATATAATGTAACTTATGGTGAACCGGGTCATATGGGGAATTGGGTTATAAAATTCAATTCTCTTTATATAATCTTGTTCTACGAGCTATATATTCATTCAATTTCAACTCTAAATCATTTGAATTACTCTTTGACTCTTCTTCTTCAATCTCCTCTTTTAATTCTTTAATTGGATGTTTATATGGTTGTCCTTGTAGCTTTTTCTTTTAGGTTTTTCCTTTGCTTTATATACCATTTTCAGTACTTCCTTATTATTAAAGATATATTGATCTTGTAATTTGATTCTTTTGTTTTTAATTTTTTTCTTTCGAGTTTCAATTATCTTTTGAACATTAGCAAGCTGTTTCCGAAGTAGGGCTATCTTAGTATTTTGAAATTCTACAAGTCTAGTTATTCTTTTAGTATATCGATAAGTTAATAATACAAGAGAATCATTATCTGCTAGAGCTTTATTAAAGGTTTGATTTACTTATCTTAGCTTTGTTCTATTTAGAGGAGAGCTTTTAAGTATAAATAAGTTTAGATTTTGATTAAAGGTTTTCATTTGTAGAGTAGAAGGTTATTAGAAGGAGTTAAATGGTAATGAATCGAGTACTTTTTGTAGGGCAAAAGGTACTAAATTAGCTCCTCTTTAGCCAGCTTTAATATTAGAAGAATTCAATGCTTTTTTTCTAATATTTTGAAAGAGTTTTATTCATTCAGTTCTTTGGATTCGCTTTACATTAGTTCGAGAATATCGATCGACCTTTAAAGTATGATATTGTTTCATTAGCCTATACATTGCAATATCAAGTGGTTGAAGTAAGTGGGAATAATGAGAAGATAATATAAGTAAATCGATATCCTTCTTTATACAAAAAGCAATAAAGCTATTTATAATATAACTTGAATGATTATTTATAATCAAAAGTCGAGATCAATCACCTAACACTTTCTTAGATTCTAATTCGAAAACCCTTTTTAGCCATTCTAATTCATAATTGTTTGAGGTCCATCCATTTGTATTAATAAAGAACTACCAGCTTTGAGGTGTATCCTTTAGAATCCATACAGAATTTGTATTTTAAGCCTTGAAAATGACCATAGATAATAGAGCCTTTCCAACTACATTAACACATTCAAATATAGTTATCTATTCTTGTTTATCAACTGTAACTTTCCAATTCGATTTCTAAATAAAATCGACTATAATATATATACTTTGAATACTTCCAATTTTAAATCCGATTTCATTTATATTATATATATCATTTAATTTATATTTTCGTTTAATGAGATGTATACAAAACGTGTCAAATCAAGCCTGAATATTCTCCAATATTGTTTTTTTAATTTGATTAAACTTTAATTAATATGAGTAGTATATCTTAAGTTCTAAATATTGTTTTTGAAATCTATAGATTCATTTGTGGTTTATAAGTGGAATTTCTATTGAAGTAGGAATTCGAAATAATATGATCTAAATGTATCGAAAACGAATTTCGTCGATCATTTCCTTCACCAATATAGGTGTAGTAGGGGATCTAGTGATAGTAAGTTATGAAATCTATTATACAAGAATATTTTCTTTTACATTTGAAAGAATTTGAGCCATTTCGTAGAATTAAGTATATGATTTCCTTCCAACGATTCTAATTATGAGAGTTGATTTAGAAACTTCAAAATATTCTATAGTCTTTCTAATTGATTTAAATTCCTTTAATTGAAGTGTAATAATAGCATTTTGTATCTTCTCTTTAATTTGAGAAGGTGTAAAAGGTGATTTGATATATATAGTAAAATTTGTTGGGGTTTAAAGTTAATAATGGGCTAAATGTGACCCAGTTCCTCATATGACCTGGTTCACCATAAGTTACGTTATAATTAAATATTTTGTATTAAATTTTCAGAAATTTTAATTTAGAAATAAAGAAAATGTATAATTATATATAAACGAATTTTATATGTAAAATAAGTGATATATATATTGATATAATATACGCACTAATAAATTACGTTAATTAAACTACATATTTCAAATACTCACTTGTTTCCTCGAACACCGTATTTATTAACTCGTCACTTAACAGCTCCGGTCAAGTGATCATCTCTTCTTATCTGACACTAATCTTGTGGCATGTTCTCTAATCAAACTGTACAGTCCCATCGAGAAATCGTGGAATAAAGCTCTTCCTGGTTCGTGTATACAGATTGGAAACTTTTAGTATAGCACATCGGTAATGGCAAAAGTGGCTGATTTGATAATTATCGTCTTGCCAATTTATCAAATTCGACGTCTTCAACTTCCGTTAAGTCAAAAGTTTGGATTGGCCTTGATGCCCAGTCTTGGATTTTTGTAAGCAACCAGTATTCTCACAGCTAAATTACCTACCGAACACGATCAAACTAATAGGTCCAATAGTGTCGTCGCATGTACCGTTGTTCGAATGGCCACAGTCGGAGTAGCCATTACTGCGACAGACACAATGTATTATCAAGCGACGTCGAACTCATGGACTTTCGTCAAAGGCAATGTTTCCATCATTTGCGCTTCATTACCCATCCTGAAAGCTCCCATAATAAGGTTTTGTCCCTGGTTGATGCGCAACAAAACCACAACATCAGCATAAGGCATGAACTTCTCGAAAGATAATTATGAAACGAAGAAAGCACTTCCAAGTCATGATGGCAGTGTAAGAGACAGTAGGATCAGGGGCGTTACTGGGAAGACGAAAACGGATCCACTGGGGATAGTGATGAAGAGTTTATCTTGGAGGAGATGGGAAAGGGGGTGAGAAAAAACGACAGAGTTCAATGTTGGCTATGAGGCGACGAGTATTAAGAATGTTGGAGGTAGGACGAGTATATTGAAAACTTAAAGTCGGTGGTATAATTCGACTATTCGGGTTTGGGGGTTTTCTATTACTGCTTCACTTTGTGAGGGCATCATTGTGTAGGGTAAGAATCTGGAAGAAATGTATGATGTCTGTATACGCACAGGGAATTTTAGATGATGGATTCTGGATTCTAGACTCTCATTCTACGGGTTCGTTGTGCGATGAAGTATTGAAGATCAAGATCAAAAAATGACAATTATAATAGAAGCCATAGCATGAAGAGTTTGTTGAATTTTATGCGTTCACTTTGTAAGAAAAATATTTTGGTTGATCCCGTGATTGATCTCGTGATTGATGGTTTAAGTTGATTGTTTGTTCTACAATTATTTCCAACCAGAAGATATTGTTTTCATGTGAAAAGTTGGAATTCATTATGAATGCTTCGATCAATGGTTGCGTCATATGAATCTCTCTCGCTCTAATAGCTTAAGGTACCGGGTACTTCTTTGCTTAATTCTGCTAGTGTGGTGTTTCCAAACCAACTTTTCAGCAAAGACCATTAAATAAGACAGCCAGAACAGACAAACCCATCAACCGAAACATCGATCCTGGACTCTGAGGAACTTCCACCTACCCAGAAGTCAGGTAGGTACGAATAACACCTAAACGAGTATAAAAAATAGTCAAGTTACCAGATTATGCTCTAGCACCCAATATCATGGTAGAGCTCAAGTAGAGTTGCACGTGAGTAGGAGTGGAGATTAATAAGCGGCCAGCGCACGGTTATATCTCCGTCTTTTCATACGTTCGTGTCGGAAAGGTCTCGGTGCAATTATGTAGTTAGTAATCTGATGATTTTTCATTTTTCATTTTTCATTTCTTACTCTGTTTGAATCAGTAGGTTGAAAGTAGCTGGATACCGCAAAGTGTCTTGTGACAAATAGATACCATAAGAATGACGATAAGTTGTCGATGTCTCTAGGTGCTTGCAGATAATAAATGTATCTGGACCCTGGTGGACTGAGAATATTATTGTTCTCCATCATAAATTCCATCGCATAGCTTGCATCTTCTTTCGCCGAGAATGAGCTTTCTCCATCATTAGCATCACAACATATTGGCACATCTGTTTAGATCGAATGAACCGCCAGTATGTTAACTCAACGTCCGAATCGAAATGACAATATCCGGACTTATTCCATAAATTCTCTCGAAGGTCAAACCGATAAAATTCTCATCGATAGTGATGGCACTCCCCATTCCACGAACGAAAAGTTGACAGCTGCCAATAATGGCAAAATCACATTTCGGGAGAGAATTCATCATTTTACATGGGCGTGGTTTACTCTTACTATGAGTACTGGAGGAATCGCTCTGTTGCTCGCGAAAACACCACACAAATTCATTGGCCTGACTATCTTGGGGGACATCGTTTTCATTTTAGATTTATGTCTTTTTGTTCTCTTATGTTCTGGGATTTCAGCACGATTTATATTATATCCAAAGGCATTTTCTGCCTCATTGCAAGATGCTACCGAGTCCCTCTTCTTCCCAACATTTTGGATTTCATTGTTGAGTATAATTGCAAACACGCAATTATATGGCGTTCCCCATTGTGGCCCATGGCTCATCACCACCCTCCGAATAGTATTCTGGATATATACGGCCCTGACATTCTTTGGTGCTGTCGGTCAATATTGCTATCTTTTTGCTGCCAAACAACAAACACTTCAATCCATGACTCCCGCCTGGATTCTTCCTATCTTTCCCGTTATGCTTTGCGGGACCCTCGCCTCCGTTACAACGGGATCACAAACTCCCGAACATGCCCTTCCTATGCTGGTTGCTGGAATTACGTTTCAAGGATTGGGAATTTTTGTCGCGGTCTTCATGTATGGACCTTACATTGGAAGATTGATGACAAATGGATTGCCAGAACCCAACACGAGACCGGGAATGTTTATTGCAGTTGGACCGCCAAGTTTTACTGGCTTAGCGTTATTGGGCATGAGTGAGAACTTTTCCAAAATATACCCGGCATATACTACTATATCATCGATCACGAACCCAGATATGATTGCCGATATGTTTCGCATTATCGCAGTCTCTGCTGCAGTATTCTTATGGGCTACAGCATTTTGGTTCTTTTGCATCTCAATGGTTTCTGTTTTGGCGGGCGCAAAGGAGATGAGTTTCCATCTTGTGTGGTATGCTTTCGTTTTTCCGAACGTGGGATTCACGATTGTTATCATCAATATCGGGAAGGCATTCAAGAGTGATGGCGTGCTTTGGGTTGGAAGTGGATTAACCGTTATTCTTGTAATTGTCTGGTTGCTGGTTTTTGCGGCACATATTAGAGCGGTGGTTTTGAAGCAAGTTCTATGGCCGGGTAAGGATGAGGACAAGGGAGAGGAAAACGAGTGAGGTGGCTCGGACGGAATGTGGAGTACTAGAGCCTGGACATGTGACCATGGCAAATGAACTCTGATTGTTAGAAATCGGCACGGGTTTGAATCTCATGTGGTGGACAGAGTGAGATTAAAATAACACGGCTATTCATTCTATATGCATCAAAATATTTAAACCCCATTCGTTCTACATCGCCAGTCTGCCCACAACGGTTTCTCTCTCTTTGATCGCTTTGAGAGACGCCCGGACCAAGATTCTGTTCAAGGAGGGCTTGGAGATCGCGGATTTCATTAGGTCTCAATTCCCCAAACCCGATCGAATCTCTCTAGCGAATTATAAACACCCCGAGTACTCTGCTCTTATACAATTGGAGTAGGAAACCCAGGTTCAGCACTTTCATCCCAATCATCTCTTGGATCTGGAAATAGCCGTGGCTCGTTTCTTTGCCAAGAATTTTCCGGCGGAGGCGTCATAGGTCGTGTTGAGTTATGGCAACTGCATAGACAATAAGCTGTCGTGTCCACATTTCCCAGAATGTTATTTTCCAGCAAATCAATTCTTTCATGAAGTCTATGTATCTCGGTCGATCGATTAATCTGGTCATCGAAGCTGTTGTAGAATGGATTCATAGGTGGGCAATCGGGGTTATTGGACGAGGAGCAAGATGGTTGCGGCGGTACATTTTCTCTCTCGTTATTCTGACTAATGCGATGATTTTTTCGACGCTGATCCGAACGGATTCGCAGTGGGAAATGGACATCATCTTGAATTTGGTTTTGTGAATGCCGTTCATCATTCATGTCTCTAAAGGCATCTGGATTGACTTTAGGAATGCGTGTTCTTGGAGCATCATCATCATCAATCCCTGATTTTTTCTCACACGCTCTAAGATAATTGTATAAACCATCTTGGCTTTTCTTTTGAATACAAGATCGGCAAATATTGTTAGGGTGCGGAGAGCCTTCTGGTACGGAATAGTCTCTGGAATAAGTGTATGAACCATCTGGATTTGGCAACCCAAAGCATGAGCGTATACGTCGAAGAGGGCAAGGTTGGCTTGGATAGGGTGATCCAGATGGACCGACGGATGGCTGTAGATCTTCTTGGAAAGACAAGTTCGTGTGATATAGTTCGCAGGAAGTTCCTTGACGGGGTTCTTTCTTTCTAGCGGACATTTTCGGTTGGTTGGATTGAGTGAAGTTCCTCGGTCTCGCTATGCGCTTGTCGGTGTGATGTAGAAAGTATGGGAATGGATAGATGTGGAAGAGAGACAGGCAGGTGGTTTTTATAAAATATATGGATACTTACAAACATAAAGTAATCTTAATAATGACTATATTCGATCAATCACTTCATAATTTAAGTGACTCCTCTGCTCTATCACACATCAATTGAGTCATCTATCGCCAGAATCGCAAAGAACAAACGATTGGCTAAGAATGAAATTTGTCTCGACGTTACATTATGATAGATACTTTTACGCGGAGGGGAGTACAGCGACAGCCAGCCACGTTCCAAGGCTGAAGTTGTACCACCCAGACCAACCACTTGAATGATATTAACACGTTATGATGACCACTCAACGTATGCGGGCAATGCGTTTGGCGAGCAACTAATAATGCGGTGTAGCATCAACGCATGATACAGATTGGGTACACTAAAGGAGACGTAGGAGAAACAGTGAGATCGAATAGATATGGATCCCCCATGCGGCACGGGCAAGTGATAGCCAATGGATATTGCTTTTCCCATTTCTCACTTGGAGAAACATGAGTTGAGACGTAGGGTAAGAGATGCTCAGAAATTGGGCAAACAGTTGGAAGGGGAATAAGAATAGGGGAAAATTGAAAGGAGCGAAGTGTTGATATATCAGAAACTCCTATAAAGTAAAGTCACCCCCTTGAGAGTGAGGTATACCTACTAGGAATGCGCATTCGGTCTCAGCTATCATATCAACTTTCAAAGGCGTAATAGTGATTAAAAGTTACGCAATTCTCCTTCAAAAACATTATCCAATTACCCGTTTGAATGGTGTAATTTACTTGAATTGAATTGAATTGAATTAAAATCGAAGATAGTCATGTAATTCTTTTACAATATGGGTTCTCTCATTGCAACCTCCCTTTTCACGATTGACAGGAAGAACGACAGAAATGCATCAAATCTAATATATGACAAAGATACACACATACCGTCGGGACAGAAGCAAAGTATTGAAGGTATACCGACAAACAAAAATACATTCGAGTACAAGAATACAAAGCAATACTGTCGATACTTTGATCCCAATATTGATACTGATATTGATTTGGATTTGGAGAGGTGGAATTGTTGTGCGAGGATGAATTCAATTATGGATAGCCCCAAGGAGATTGGGCGTGTTAGTGAGAATGATATTGATATTCAGCAACGTGAAGCAATTGAAGCTTGGGAAAGGGAAGAAGATAGTGATATCGAGAATCATGGTGAGTTTGTAATAATTCTCCTACTTTCTCTTTTTTTTTCTTTTTTTTTTTTCTTCTCTTCTTTCTTCTTTCCTTTCTTCTTCTTCTCATGTCTTTTCTATAGACATTCATTATATCATATTTGGTTTGTGGTTTGTGGTTCAGCAATGTGCTAGGGGTGAAATTCGGGCTGAGGTCGGTCGGTCGGTCGGTGACTACCTACTTTACGCTCATCAACCTAGCAATAGTTCCAGTTCTTCTGCTTATGTCCCACCCCCACCCCCCCTTCCCCTCTAATCATCATCTAAAAGATGACCTCAATCTTTGGTTCAAGAAACGCAAATACTCACTCTTCAGCTACAGCAACATCTTCACAAACAGATTATTCTATCTCGCCAATAACTAAGAATCTCCTAGCTAGCACTGAAGACGAGAATTATCAACTTGACTCATTATCCCACGATCCCAGCCAACGAACCAGTTCTGAAGATGACCTCGACCCATCATCTCCCCAACTTCTCCACCACCTCGAAAACGATTCCTCGATCCTCACTCTTGCTGTAGGTTCAAAATACATTTATGCCGGTACTCAAGATGGAGAAATAGTCGTTTGGTCTCTCGCATCCTACGAGCTTGTTTCGCGCATCCAAGCACACACCCGCAGTGTACTTTCCCTCTTCCTATCCGCGGATGGCAAGCTATTATTCTCATCTGCTGGCGATGCCATTGTTAATGCATGGTGTCCTACCACTTTAGTCCGCAAATACCATATTTACAGTACCTACGATGTCGGCGATGTATTTTCTGTAGCTTATTCCCCGCAGTTCGAAACGGTGTATTTGGGAGCTCAAAATACGAGTATACAATGGGTTAGTCTGAGGGATTCCGCGACGAGACCTACACCAAATCCAGAACGTCACCCAGATAGGAGGAATCATCGATTTTTTGATAGTGTGCAACACGGAGGGACAAGCACACCAAGACCGAGGCCGGCTGGAAGAGCCGCTGCGGACCAGGGAGATGTGTTGGAGATTGACAAGGCCCATATGCAACAATATGCTCACTTTGGATATGTCTATTGTATGCTTATGGTTCGAGGAGTCTCCCGGCAGGTTGATGCGGATGAGGAAATGCTAATTTCAGGTGGAGGGGACGGTACAATTAAATTGTGGAAATTGAGCAAGGATGAAGACGAGGGGATCAAGGAGATTGAAAAACTAGGTGAAGATGATGCGGAAAGTGTTCTGAGTTTAGCAGTGGACGGAAGTTTTCTCTATAGTAGCAAATTGGAGGGAGTGATTGAGTTGTGGGATTTGGATACGAGACAAAAGTTGAGAGTTATCAGAGCAAATAGAGGGGATGTTATGACTTTACAGATGGGGTGGGGATATCTCTGGAGTGGTGGAAGTACCGGGCATGCTAGAGTGAGTTTGGGTTTTCCTATTTTCTGTGGAGTTGTATCGTACAAATGGCTAACATTTTGCAGAAATACAGCACGGTACAATATGGTCAATACAAATCTTCCTCGAATTTCAGTCAAAAATATCAGTGTGTCAAACGATGGAAAGCTCACGGAGGTAGAATTTTGGCTTCCGCGATTGCTACCCATCATGGTCAACAACTCTACATAACTGGTGCGAACGATTGTTCGGTTTCGATATGGGACGTTACTGGATGTGATACGGGCACATATCCAAAACGCGAATCACTTCAAGATGACCAACTTATCAAATCATTGCAAGATTTTGTAGCTTTCAAGACGATTTCCGCACGACCTGATCATGCCGAGGATTGTCGACGAGGTGCTACCTTTTTGAGAACATTGTTTAAAAAATATGGAGCTGTTACTGAGATGTTGACAACTGAAGCTCATCATAACCCAATTGTTTACGCCAAGTTTAAGGGAAATCCGGAGACTGCTGGAAATAGGAAGAAGATCTTATTCTATGGACACTATGATGTTGTTCCTGCGGATGACAAGCAGAAGAAATGGATTATCGATCCTTTTCAAATGAAGGGGGTAAATGGATACCTCTATGGAAGAGGAGTCAGTGACAATAAAGGTCCAATCATGGCTGCTCTTTATGGGGTTGTCGATTTGGTTCATGAGAAGGCTTTGGATTCTGATGTTACATTTTTGATTGAGGGAGAAGAAGAGAGTGGATCCAGAGGTTTCAAGGACGCCGTGAGAAAGTATAAGGAATTGATTGGGGATATTGATTATATCATTCTTGCCAATAGTTATTGGCTCGATGATGAAGTTCCTTGCTTGACATATGGCCTCAGGGGTGTTCTTCATGCTACTGTTAAAGTCAATAGCAAGCATCCCGATGTCCATAGTGGAGTTGACGGAAGTTTCATGATGGATGAACCGCTTTTTGATCTGACAGCTATCCTCGCAAAGCTAAAGGGACTGCATAACAGGATTCAAATTCCTGGATTCTATAATGAAATTCTTCCACTCACACCAGCCGAAGAAGCTCGTTACGATGATATTGTATCGACCCTCCTCCGTCGTAATCCAGAACTCGGACCGGCGATTACTCTGAAACAATCCATTATGGCTAGATGGAGAGAACCAAATCTGACTGTTCATCGCTATAAAGTTTCTGGGCCAGATGGTTCTCTAGTGTCGTCCAACGCGAGCGCAGCTATTTCCCTTCGTCTGGTTCCCAACCAGGAAGTCGACGATGTTATTAAATCTTTGACAAAATTTCTTCAAGATGCTTTCGCAAAGCTCGATACGCATAACAACCTCACAATTAATATTGACAACCAAGCAGATGCCTGGCTCGGTGATCCCGAAAATGAGATCTTTAGGACGCTGGAAGAGGCCATCATGGAGGTGTGGGGACCGATAACGGACCATACGAGGAGAAGTAGTGTACAAGGTCCTAAATATGTCGGGAAGGAGAGGGAAAGCTCACCCAAGAGTCCTATCAGCGCATCACCAAGTCTTAAACCCACACCTGCGACTACTACGAGTTTTACTGGTGGAAGTGATCATACGAGTCTAGCAGCTGCACCGGTAGATCTTGCATCCTTATCACTAGACGCGGAAGATGTTCCCAACAGTCGCAATGAGAAAGAAAATGAGAGGTACGGGGATGAAAGCGGCAACGTAGTTAGTGAAGGTAAAGAAGGAAAGGGGTTGGGTGATAGAAATATGAGAGGCATGGGGAGGAAGCCGCTCTATATTAGAGAAGGAGGTTCGATTCCAAGTATCCGATTCTTGGAAAAGGAGTTTGGAGCGCCAGCGGCGCATTTACCGTGTGGACAAGCGAGTGACAGTGCGCATTTGGGTGAGCTTTTTCCTCATCCTGACCAGCTGTCAGGGATTGGCAGATTTGGTTGGGAAAGTTGTAATCTTCAAGAACTTTGCTAATAATTACTGCAATGAACAGACAACGAAAGAATTAGGGTTAACAATCTGTATAATAGTCGGCTCATCTTCAGGAAGGTGTTCAGGGAGTTACCAAGGAAATAGAATAATATTTGTTGGCCTGTATGAGATGAAAATATTATGATGGCGTTCTGAAAAGAAGGTAAAACATATGCATACATGAATTAGATCTGTGTGAAGGCATAGTCGTCACGTCACAAGGGTAGAAGGAGTGGGGAAGTAGTTGGCTTAGCATTATACTGTAGTTCGAATGATACCAACCTTGTGGGCGATTTTTGAGATTGACTTTTCAAATGAGTTGACAGGGAAATAATGAAGCTAATATAAA